GATGTTTGTAACAATAACGTTGAGTATTTGTAATTTTATTATTTTCATCTTTTAATAAGAAGTCTCGTCCTACATATCGAATACAAGATAAACAAAGAGCTTTCTTATTATTTTTATTTGCTTTTTCATTGTGAAGTACTTCAAACCATGGAGTTAATGGATGCGGCGCTTTTCCTCCTGCATGTGTCATTATGCTTTGAAATGAGATTTTATTTCTAATCTTTCCATTTAAGTTTAATCGAGATTTGTAATACGTCAATCACAATGGACACAATGGACAATGCAATGGACACAATGGAAAACTGTCCATTGTCGATTGTTATATCAATGGATATGTCCATTGCCAACACTGAATTATATTAATTCATAAAAAATATGTCAAATTTAGAGATTAATTAAAATTTTCTCATTTATTGTCATATTTTTTCACCCTTTCATTAAATATTTTGCATTTCTAAAAATTAAAAATATTATCATTAGTATTAGTTTCTTATAGATAATTTATTAAAGAAAATAAAAAATTTATTACAATGATGTTTTCGTACGTTCGTTCTTTCGCGTCCCATTTAAGACATGCCTTTACAAATTCTGCAACTTAAGTTGAGAAATTGTAAAAAGTTAATATATTATTTTTTTTTAGTAATAATAATGATAAATTAAATCGTTTTAATTACCATCTGCATATCCTCTCTCTATAATTTTATTTATAACGGGCTCATTCCCGTCCTTTATCATTTGCAACTTGTGTTCTATCTCCACCAAAATAACTTTCAGACATAACTTTAGAGGTTGTAACAGATATTCCTCATAACAGCTATATATTAGGTGACCCATAGACCGCCAATCCGCAGATTCATTTTGAGGTTGCATCTTCAAAACCTCAGGAGCACCTTTAAGTATAAATAGATATTAGAAGCTAAATAGATTAAAAAGTAGTTTTAAAAATAATTACTTAAAAGCAACGGTGTACCTCTTTTATCACTTGGATTTGAGCTGATTTTGCTGCTTAATCCAAAATCCGTGATTAATAAAGAAAGGGGGCTTTCATTCTCTACAAGAATGTTTTCTGGCTTAGTGTCTCTATGAAGCCATCCTCTTTCATGTATAACCTATAAATATGAAATAAATTAAAATTATTAAACATGAGATAATTACTGTATATGATCATTAAATTCAAATAAATATAAAATGCTAACTTTAATAACTTTGATGATGCTTCTTATAATATCACCATTATCTTGACCTTTCTTCCTGATCCAAGTTGATAATGAGTTATACTTGATCCTATTAAATAATATTATAACTTTGACTTTAATATACAAATTTAAGTGATACTGTATATGTAAATGATAAGCTGTTAATTATATACCAATCCATTAGCAAGTAACAATTTTTGGATTCGTTATCGTGAAATCCTTCTCGCGCTTTCACGACGCAGGCCTATAATGACAAAATAATATTATTAAATAATTTTATAATTTAAAGTTAAAATATAATTAACTGACCAAGTCTTGCAATTCTTTCATTGCATTGTACTCTCTTTGCAATGAAGATTTCGAAATTTTTGCCGCAATAATCGTTCATCATAAATATTTCTTAGGAGATGGACATTGCCAAAACCACCTTTTGACCTTGTCGTTAAACATTCAATACATGTGTTGTTGAGTGGTATCCGGACGTTTCGCCGAATCCGTTTCGCCGAAGCTAATTAACCGAATGGACTTTCACGAAAGACGTTTCGCCGAAAACGACTACCGTCTAACATTTGTTTAACTTAACATTTTTAGGTTATACATTAAAAGATAAGTTTTTTCTTAAAACTTTTCGTTGGAAATAATAAAAAAAAAGTTCAGTAAATCTGGCAAATTACTAACATCAGCAGCGAATTATTTTCTTTTTCGGCGAAATGTCCTTTCGATGAAACGGATTCGGAGAAGTGTCCATTCGGCAAAACGGGTTCGGCAACGTCATTTCAGCGAAGCGTCCTCTGATGAAATGTTCATTCGGCGAAACGTCTTTTCGGTGAAAAATCCATTCGGCGAAATAGACATTTGGTGAATTAGCTTTGGCAAAGTGGGTTTCGGCTGAACGGGTTTCGACGAAACGTACCGTAACCCTGTTTAGTAAATTGTTCGGCTTCCAATTTTTCCAGAGATAATAAGTTTTTTAACTTAAAAAATTTTTTTTGCTATATTTATTTATTTTTTTTTAAAAGCCAGTATCTTAAATTCCAATATTCTGAAATGTACATACTAATTTTCTGAATGCCATTTTTACAAATTCTGATTTTAATATCACGATTGCTTTCGTTAAAAAATGATCGTTTAGAAATTAATTTGTTATCTATATCAGATGAACAAATGGTTTAATTTATGCATGTTTTTAGAAAAAAATATGGGAGGCGGTCAATAAAAAAAGGGAGAAATCTACAAATTTTAGTTATTAAGCTAGTTTTGTTCACATGACCTTGATCAGCAGAGTGAGCCAATAAAAATATTTTTGACTAAAAAGTGGATTTTCCCCCATATTTCCTTGATGATAAACATCTGTATTTTTTTGAAAAAGAGATTTATTAAAATATAAATCTAATATAAAATACAATCTAATTTCGGTCTAAATTCCAGTTACAAACGATTCTTAAAAATTATTAACGATTCCGTTTATTATAAGTGATGAGATGATTAAAAAATTTATCGACATGAAACGGGAATTTTTATCTTCCAACTTTACTTAGTTATTAATTTAAAAATGACAAATTTTCTTCAATAGGAAGTAAGGTTTGGTAACCGGTTAAATATCTTTTATTTAACAGGATAGCTTATTTAAAGTCACAAGATAACAGATAAAATCAGAGAAAAATTTATAAGGACTCGGAAAGTCTTTCATACTGATAGAGTTGACAAAATTTTTTGTAATCACAAAAACAAAAATTCTGGTCGAGAATTAAAGAGTTAATATACTGGTTAAAAAAAAACCTTTAATACGAGAATGTCCATAAATTAATAAACTAAATTAAAAATTGAGAGGATTGAACATCGCTACACATTTTGATCTTAACAAAAAAAAAGGGCGAAAGTAATTTCTTTGTTTCCTTTTACATGTTGACTTTAACCGCAAAAATATCAAAGTAATAAGGGGAATATTTATATAAATTTCAGGCGCAGTACATAAATATGAAGTTCAACCTATAATTAATCACATTTTTGTTGGTATAGGTCATTAGTATATCATAAATAAGCCAAATGCGTTAATATTTTTTTTTTAAAACAATATAGGAGTAGTGTAAAATGACTACTCCCTATTTATATCATCAATTAATTCAATACGCCACTAAAAATTATTATATTAATCTCATTTAGTGTTTTAACACGAAATTACATTTGCTAAAATTAAACTTAAGTTACCTTATT